CTGTGTGGAGGACCACTTTGGGAAGTAGGTTCCCTCCTTCCTTTATATGGGTTCTGAGGCTTGAACTCAGCCTACACCACCCATTTTTCTGTGACCCACTGAGTTTAATTAAGGTTGTTTGCATGAGCATGGGTAGGGAGTTATTTACTGGAGCATGGGCAATGTACCAGTGGCTACACCACTAAAGACAAGGACTCCCTCTTCCCAGGCAATGGTTAACTACCAATAGCTTCTCAGAGGAGGGTGGAGCCTCCCAAGCTCCTCATCCTCTGCTTGGTTTTCTATAAACCTAAAACTGCTCAGAAAATGGTCTATTAATTTTAAAACTAAGTAAGAGTTAAAAGAACCTGATAGAGGCCTTGGAATCCAGACCAAATTACATTAGTCCCATGGCTGATTTGCTGGAATTTCATTGTCTGGCCCCAGTGGCCACAGGACTGGACCCCAGGGCTACTATCAAGGTCTGAATGTATGCCCACTGGGCTCTCAGCACAGACTGTCAGACCCCAGCAGTCATCCCCATGCACAGAGTGACAGACACATACATAAGCACATACATGTACACACATCATCCTTGGGTGAAGATGAGCCCTTTCCAGTCCTTACAGGGATTCTGACAGGACATGGGGTGCCTGAGGACTTACCATGTCACCCTTCTCACTGGCTCGGCCTGGTGGCCCTCTTGGGCCTTCTTCACCCTAGCGGGAAGACAGGAGACCAAGTCATATGGGCCCAGAAGAGCAGCACACTGCAGCAATGGGAGCTCCTGGGGCATTCCTGGGGCATGGGGGTGAGGGAGGGGGGAACAAGAGCAGGCTTACCGGTGGTCCAGCTACGCCAATGGAGCCCACCATGCCTTTATATCCACGAGGACCCTGAGGAGAGGAAAGGGTTATGAATCAGTCCTGGCTGGACTCTGGAGGTCAGAAGACTGGTCACAGTATCTCTTGCAGGGCACTCCTAGACTCACCGTCTCTCCTTTAGGTCCTGCCATGCCTGGGTAGCCCCTGATGCCCTGGGGACCCTATCAAGACAGAAAAAAATGACAGTAAAGACAACTGCAAGGCCCAATTCATGACACCTTTTCTGACCCCCACCCCTTTTCAAATGCTTGTTTGTTGTAGGCAGAGTCCATTCCTTCTAGATGGGACAATGTAGCTCAGAGGCAGGGGCTCTATCAGGGTCACTTAAAGGAAGAGTGGCAGACCTGGACCTTAGCCAGGCTTTCAAGTGGGCAGCGTTGATCCTGTCCTGAGATTCCCAGATGCCAGTCCCAATCTCTCACCCAACCCAGACACTCCCCATCCAGACATAGGTTTCTCTCATATGCTAGAGGCCTACATAGGGGAATGATCCCATTAAGGGCTCCCAGGATGACAGAGGCATCCCATAACAGTGAGGTGCTTCTTACCGGTGGTCCAGGGATGCCTTGTTCTCCAGAGGCACCCA